AATTAAGAGCTTACACAGACATTTGCCTCGATGCAAACTAACCCAGTGTATAAAATAGCATCGAGGCAGACACAAAGATACGTTAGACACAATGGTTAAGGTAGGGAATTAGAGGAAATAGGTTCCGTTTAAACCTCCTGCAAAGATAATCTCACTAATTACAGCTTAGGCTGCTCTTTCCGCTTGGGGATTCTCAGCTGTGCGTTTTGTGTCATTGATGTTAATTATTGAAAAGAAAAACTAACTTTTTATATTGCCAAAGAATCAATGACAACGTCATTGTATTTTAAATTACTATGATTAAATAGTTATGTGAGGATTGAAAAGTATTTTTTATATTTTATTTACTTAGTGACAGTTTCTTTGACTTAGGAGACTTATTTGTATTTCCAAACAGGACTTTGATAAATTTACTCATTAGCTATTCTTTTATGGCACAAACTGTTAGGTCTATAATACAAATATTAGTTTTTATAACCTGTATACACAGCAAAACGGAAGTTTTACGAAAAAAAAACTTTAAAACTTTAATGAAAGTTGGTTTTATATCATTTGAATTTCTTTTGCATTACCTGAAGTTATTTTCTATCTTAGTTTCCTAATGATATATTTTAAAAAGATAAATTAAAAGATTTTGTTAACTTATTGAATTAACATCAACAATGTTCTTGTTCTAAATACTAATACTTCAGATAAAATACACCAAAATTAAAATACAAAATTATAGATTGGAACAGATATTTCCTACTTATAAGTTTTGAAAGCTATAATATATATAAGGAATATATCACATTTACCACATGCATAGTTAATTATCTTCATAGTCAATTAAACAAGCTTCATTGAAAGGAGTTTAAAACAGTTCAATTCAATTAAGTAAATTACATCAGGAACAATAGACCCTTGTACAATGTAAATGCTTAGAATGTTCATCCGAGTTGATCTCCTATTACGTTTAATCGGCGTTTACAGCAATAAAATACTGGGATCCTTCGCAAGGGTCTACCTTAGAAGTAAAGGTCTAAGAAATGCGATACGTACGGTAAGAAAGTTCAGATGGCGTTTAAGAATAAAATTATCTATTACATAATGTAAGAAATGGTTTTATTACGTCACTTATATTACAATAAAGCTGGAAGAAATAAAATATTATTTTTTTTTAGATAAGTTGTTAAAATAAACCTCGATAACTAATTTCTTTTAATCATTGTAAAAAGTAAGCTACATTTTGACATTCATTTAAGTAAAGCACAGCTTTTATTTAAAGAAATCTCAGAAATGATTTGTATCAGCAATCTGACACATACTTACTCTCAATAGCTATTCAACATCCTTTATCATAAGCAACTAATAGAAGTAACCATGATATTTTATGGGGGATATCATAAGTGTTGCAACTTTTGAACTATAATTTTGACAGGATTTAGCGTACAATCATAAGGACCATTACATACTCAATTTTAATTAAAACCAGACGAGGCATTTAAGAAAGTCTGATTTTCGCATTATTTTATGGGGTTTTGAAGAGAAATCACATAAATTACAAAACATTTTAACCGTACTTATTTCAGCAATAGGGGTTGTATTGTTTTGTTTAGAGTAAAAAGGACTTAAACATACTAAATGTTAAGCAAAATCGTTTTGCCTTTTTTGTAAAAAATGTATTTATTGAAAAATCACTATTAAAAATCAAAATTTTCAAAATTGGAAAATGACACACGCACAGGCATTACCACTGACTTTGGAAATCCATTTTTTTTGTTCAGGGGGACCCAAAAAGTATACGTTAACCAAAAACTCAAACTCGAAAATTTGGGAAGGGAGGAAAGTAAATAACACTTTATTCTTTTACTTTAACACTGCTCAATTAATCAAAACTGTACATAAAACACAAAACCTTTTATTTGTATGAGTAACATATTCTAAAAGAATGTATTGCCAATAAAACTTCCTTGAAAGTCATCGTGAGAATCATTTTGATTAAGGGTTTCTACTATCGAACCCTTCCACTTCAAGTTCTCATGTGTAAAACTCAGGTTCAGTTAATTTATTGTGTTATTTGACATATACATTTTTCATTTATAAACTCTATTTATGAATCGAATGGAACCAAAATATAAACAGCACAAATAAATATAAGCAATTTACACTGCTGGCATCATAAACAATTAGAACACTGCCTAACTACTTATACCACAACAACATTGGCAAACAATGTAATAGTCACAGTAAATATGAAAACATCATCCAATTGTGTTTGCACACCAAATATTAGTCGGGCAGATGTTTTAATTATTGCAGAGATTCACAGAAAATATTGCAATTCAGTTTATTCTACGAAATGATTAAACCCGTGTATATTGTACTAATCTAGAACTGATGGAATAATGAATTTTTATTCCACACATAAATTCCAACTCAAATATGAAATAAATACCTTGATGTTATATTAATATCTCCTTATCAAGCTTAGCCTGTAATGTTGTCTACTCCATAAAACATCCTCATTTTGAAATATTTTAAAATCAAGATAAGTTATAAGTATTAATACATTTAACTACAACATTAATTAAAAACAAAATATATATGCCCGTAAAAACGCAATACGTTATCAAATATTCTTAAACAAATGGATAACGCACAGCATTATTGGTTATTAGAAAACATCATTGTTATTGTTCAGTTCAAACTTCCTTAAGATACTCATCAATTCCACATGCCTTAAGCACTTGGCTAAGTTTAAGGGGTTCATTAAGCACTACATTGTTTTCCCCTTAGATGTAATGTACACTGTAATGTGTATCAAAATATTGTTGTTTTGTCTTTAACAGTTTACAATTCGTTCTAATTTTGTTGTCCCATTCTAGTAATAAGTTAATAGTGTAAGTATAACATTTGGCATTTATTAGTGGCTCTGTTTGAAAATGGTTATGATTAAAAACTACAATTGTTTTTGGTGCAATTTTGTTTTGAGGGGTAGTTTTAAAATTCGGTTAAAACTTTTTACTCATAATTTTACAACGTTTTTCTTGTAATTCTTGATGTTAAAAGAATTTTTAAAAAAACTTGCAGCGTTATTAGTACTACGGACCTTGTAAACAAGCGTATTTCTTTGACTAAGTTGTCCTACACACGCTGTCAAATTACAACAGTTCAACTTCTGAATGTAGTACACTTCCTATCAACAACTTCAACAAATGTTTAGCTGTATTCAGTGATGGTATAGTCTTTATGGGCAATATCACTATGTAATGAAATACAGTCGAACTGAAAATTCAGGAGTAGAATGTTTCTTAGTTTAACGTAGTAGCCTTTGAAATTTTAACTGTACTTAGGTATCTGCGATTTATTTGAGTAAAAATTGCTATCAAACCTGCCACTAAATATACACAACATTTTTCATTTTCCATTTCAACGAGGATTTAAGTGACACAAATTTACGTTTTGCACAATCAATATTCTTCACATTTTTGGCCTCTCAAGTATATATAATGAGGGTAAATTGTGATGTTTTTTATTAATATTTCAGGACTTAGCAAAAGGTTTGAGGGAAATTTAGGAAGGTTCAACAATACCCAAAACGTCACGACCTTCGTTAGAGTGAATTGCATGCAATAGTCAAGCCATTTAATTTCTCGTGATATTGTCGGTTATAAATGGTATTTTAAGTTTCTATTTATTCTTATAAACATATATTTCTCATTGTTTTTGGTAATTTATTCTTATTTTTGGCAGATCTTATAAAATTACAAAAAACCTGATTATGATTTAAATAGCTACACAAAGACGAATTATTTGTGATTGTTCCCCTCTTTAAAAACCTTAACATATTTTAATTAAATAATTATCTTTGCTTAATACCAATGTGCAAATATTTAATGAAATCAGTGTAATTAAATATCTCAAACATAAATCCACAAAGTAGTTTTTGCGAAGAAAACTATCCCGTTATGTATCAAAAAGTATTCTATTTAACGTATTCTATTTAAGTATTTTAAGTATTTAAGTATTTATTTAAGTAGGTATTTAAGTATGTATTTAAGTAAGCAAGTAAGTATTTAATTATTTATTTAAGTTGTTTTAAGTTATAATATTTTAATTAAGTTTTCTATTTAAGTATTTCTATTCTGATTATGTTTAACTTTGTACATTGCTATTAAGCAAACATAATTTTTTGATTAGAGTATTTTTATTTTTAAGTTTTCTAATACATTACTCGACTTTCTACTATTTGTATTATAATGACGATGCGTGATAAGATACTTCTAACTGGCAAAGAATGTTTTTTTTTTCACATTTGAAGAGCGTTTTACGGCCTTTGTTGATTCTGTCGCCTAGTGGTTAGCGTTTCAACCGAACGGACGGGTTCAATTCCCTGCACATCCACAAAACATTAATGTTTTTCGGACTGTTTTACATAAAAGTTGTAGGGTAGCTCAGTGGTTATAGTGCTCGCATAGTAATCAAAACGTCACCGGTTAGATCCTGAGATAAGTGGGTAGATTTTTGATGGTTCGAAACTGGACCTAGCTGTCCTTTATCATTTGGCTTTTAAAAAAGCTCTGATTAATGAAACAGCTGGTCTTAGTAACAAAGCAATGCATCAAACTCCATTCTACACTCATTCTTCACTCAAAATGCATTTATACGCACATAGGTGGCACCCCATCTCAAATGGGGGAGCGAGCTGGTCTAGTGGTTAGAGCGCGGGACTTCAGTTCCATTCGGGGTTGAAATCTTGTAATGTGAAAAATTATTCCGGGCTCGTGCAAATAAAAAAAAAACCATCTCAAATGGTAACTATAATAATTAAGTGTTTGAACTGATTCAAAACAAATACCGTTGGTGTAAACACAATCAAAGCAAGAAAACTCCCCGGTTCATGAAATGTCATGATAGATCTACAGCAAAAGGAAGCTTCCAAAGACTAAGTCTCGCACTCTAACTACTTAAACAGACTTAACAACTTAGATTAAAAGAATATCGTGTTTTCCTTTTACCTGGTATTTTGTATATCCAACAGAGTACTATCACCAGCACTGCGATGCCCATGGTAGCAACCTCCTCAACGTCCACTCACTAACTGTAGTACCCTTGACTCTAGACACTTCCTGTTCCCAGTCTGGCCAATCCAGCCAAGAGTCGCAGTCAAGGATATGTGAATATGATCCAACAAAAACATGTATTCATCTGGAAACCTTGACGGTTTTGTGAATCGCATCCAAGCAACTTCTTTGTTTGTGGAAAAAGTGTTATTGGTAAGATTCTCTTTGTTCAACTGTCATATTACTAACCGTACAGCTACATGATATACAACATGGTAATAAGATGTTGTTTATTATGGCCGAGAAGTTTGTTTTATAGCTAGTAAAATTTGTATAATAATTCATTGGAATAGCAACAAACTGCAATAACGACCAAATTGGGTTGTTGTTAACGTTACAAAACCTCTTTAACTTATTTATTTGTAGTTGTATCCACACTCTTTGGCTATTGAAAAATAAAGAATTTCTCTTTCAACTAACTGTATTTGTACTCTATTCTAATTGTAAAACATACAAGCTTTGACTGCTAATCTGCAAAATACAAAAAAACACAATGCAATATTTATGTAAAAATATAACATTTTATCATAACAACTTCGGATTTATCCTGCTAATCTCCTATTACAATCTTTGTATAAAAGATAAGTTCCTGGCTCATTGCCAAGGATTATCTTGAAGGCAGACAAAACATATTAAATAAGATTGCCTAGCTTACCTTCGAAGGGCAAATTGAATTATAGCTGATTATATCTGAACCATGACTATTACCATAGGTATTTTAGTGCCATTGTTTATACGATTCAAAAGTCGCGAAATTAATATTGAACTTTGTAAAAACATAGGCATTGACTAAAGTTTGTGATCTGTTATTACTTTACCAGTCTAGGTGACCGAGGAGTTTAGTGCTCGCCTTATACCATAAGGTTCACTAATACGAAACGATATAGTTTATAGAATCTAATGCAATTTTTATTAAGGCTATCGACTTAATTATGCAATCTTGCAAAAGTTTGATTGTATATAGTGATAAAACCAAGACTTGAACTATTTCTAACAACCCAGATTCCGATGGTGTAGAACAAGCAATTGAAACAAATAAAATATGAAAAAACTAATTTAGTGAAACATGCATTGCAAAAACGGTTATTTTCTGAACATCGTGGAATTATAATCCAAACTACATGTATACCAGATAAGGTAATTTGTTCACACATACTTAATACTAAACAACGCGACTAGAAAAAGCCAATTAAAATGCTATTTAGGGGATTTAGATCAAATAATCTTCTTAAAAAATTTATTTTTTACACAATAGCCTACCTTGAAAATACATGTAAATTTAAAATGAAGAAAAAATTTCCATGAAATATTTAAAGAGTTCCAATACGCTTTTGGATATTTTGCCGTTGATTTTCAGGCCCATTATGATCAAGTAGGATACGTTTTCGAATATTTGTTGTTTACCTGTAAATGCTACAATTCTACAAAACCTAAAATATTTCACCTTTTTGTAGACACAAATTATATAATACTTTTAGTCCCTACGTATGATAATTCACATTTAGCATTGTAGGGTAAATTTGATGAATATTTGCTCACTGGAGATTCGATTAAAAAGATATACATTTTGAACCGTGTTAAACAATTGCTTGTAATGTAAACTGTAGTTCTAAAGCTTCAGTTTGACAATGACTGATTGAACACTAAACCACAAACATCCATCACGATTTTATGGTTGAATTCCTTTATCCTTCAAGCGGCTTGTTTTAATGATTGCTTAAATATTTTAATATTTATTCGTAATTTATGGCTTTAAGCCTATTCGTTCGTGATATCCAATTTCCTAAATATTGAAACTGAGTAATAATTTTAGTTATTACATGTAATTACGGAATATAATATTTTGCTGGCATAGTTATTTACAGTAATTCATTTTCCTTGTTCGCCTTCTAGTAACAGGTATACATCTAACAATTAAATGCTTCATTGAAGATAAATTACTCTCAAATTAAATAAAGTTGTTGAAATATGAAATAAGCAATGTAGCCTATCTTACATATCTGAAATATATATAAATATAAATTTTCCTTAGCATAGTAGATGTGCAATTTTAATGGAAGTTTTTCTTTCAGTGAACGTTTAAGCTCGAGTACTATCCCTGCGGCAAGATAAAGGTACGCTTAGAAACAATAGCTCAAACTGGGAATTAGAGACGAATAGGCTCGGCTTAAACCGTCTTCAAAGATAATCCTTGTGATTGTACATCTTAAGCATACGTCGCTGAGAAACTTCTAACGAACACAGTTTGTGCGTTGTTCAGTGGAATATGTTCTCAAACGGTTAAAATCACAATAGTCATCAGCATACAGATTACAGTTCCTAGCTATGAAAAATGCAATAGCTTTATAATGTGATTTTATTTTGAACTTAACGTGTTAGTAAATGGACGAGTAAGCTTGTATGGTTTACCTTGGCAAACAAACTAACATATTTTACATACATACATACATGATACATGATCTCTCCGTCCGTAGTCCTTCGCCTTAAGGAATTGGACAGGTCAGGGTTAATACAAAGAATAACCAAACTTAAATACTAGTTTTTGTCGCCGTTAAGGTAGCTTAACTCCACTAGATATTTTTTCAATTCTAATTTGAATTTTGTTAAACTCTGAATTTCAAGTATTTTTTTTTTTTTAGTGCCTGGTACAATTTCATTCCCATATAATTTGGTTTGTGTTCAAATGTTGTGAGTTTATGTTGAACAAATCTTTTGCTGTACCGTGAGTGGTTTAAGGTAAAAATTGTAAACTGTATGTGAGCTCCTGTATATTTAATATTTAGATTCACACAAAGAGTTCGCGATAATATTTGTTATTAACTCTAAAATTGAAAAGAAACTGAATCAGTTGGAATTCAACCAATATTGATGGATTAATTTTATACTGTAATCTAATTTATAGGGTAAACAAAACGTCAGCAATAGGAGTTTTAATGAAAAATGTACTTCACTCTACGATATGTATCTCTATATAATTTACTTAAACATACCGTAGAATTTGTTTCCAAAATACTGGAAATAATCAATGTAATGTGATTAGTTAATTCATCTGTCGATAATCCACGTTACTGAATTGATTGACGTTTGTATGCAATATATGCAATGTTACTAATGTTATGTTAATCGTTCCGCATGATTAAATGTTACATGTAACATGATTTGCTTTGAGATGCTTCCAGACTATGCAACGTTCATCTGGTTAACCATTGAAGTGTGATCATGAAGCATGATAAAGTAATTGCTTCTATTGATGGCAAACTATTATAACAAGTTCTAAGTACTGTGTAAATTTTGTCCCTATTAGCAGTTATAGGATAAAGTAGTCTCTGTCGATAAACAAATCGAATTGATGGTATAAATTACAACTGATGTATTATAAAAATGGAGAAATCGATGACTGAAAACAATTACAGGGAACACTGAAACACTTTGTCTTGACTCCGGTGTAATAATCGTCTCTTGAAAGAAAATGTGTGTAATTAAGTCTTGAAACATTGATTATACTAAATAACAACATTTCGTATCGAATTGCAGCATGTTCATAGACTTTGGTTTGATTATTATTTATATTATCTGTGGCAATGTTCAGTAAATGTTTAACAAAATGCTATATAATCTAGAAAGAGTGTTTGAAAGAAGAGGCGAGGAGATTTATTCAAGCTACGCGAGTTTCCACTTTGGATCATTGATTGTGGGAGTGTTTCCTAAACTGATTGCGAGAAAACTTTCAGTCAAATAGTCATCACTCCATTATATTGTGATCTCTTACATCTTTAAATACTATCATAATCTCTTACATCTTTAAATACTATCATTATGATAGTTCATTATGGTAGTTTAAAGATGTAAGAGATCACAATAATCATAGATTAAAGGGATGGACATGTCTACTCTTTAATGTGTGATACTATTTGTAAACATTTTCCCCGCGGTTGTATTCTTGAATATACTCTGAAACTAGTATAACAAAGTGGCGGGATTCAATCTCTTAGTCTATTTGGTATCTCATATGGTTGTCACAATAAAACACTGTTTTCCTACCTCTGTATGAGGGTAATACAAATTCCATACCTGAAACAGTACACACAATAAATCTTTGCCGCTCTAGAGCGGGAATGGATCATTTCCTCTCTAGAGCGGGAATGGATCATTTCCTCTCTAGAGCGGGAATGGATTATTTCCACTCAAGAGCGGGAATGGTTCATTCTCACTTTTTAATCAGCTGATATAACTGTTGTCATTTCAAGACCAACCACAGCTGCGGATCTTAAAACTTAGCTGCGGACCTTAGTTAACAACCGGTAAGCATATAACATAACCTTAAAAAGCAGACAGAACCTAAATGACATTTTGCATCAAAAAAGTGTGTTATTAGGTAATAATGGTGGCATTTAAAATTTTGAGTGTATTACAAGCACAGTCATTCATTGCCGCTCGAGAACTGTAGATGGCCTCACGAAGCTAAAAAATACACACTAATACACTACTAGCCATTATAAACGAATCTACATCCATACACTACATCCATACTATATCCATATACTTTCAGCTATTTCCTATCTGGGTTTATCTTGGCAATAGGTTAATTTTTGACTACAATAATAGCTGTACGCGATATTTGTAATTGGAAGATACAGAAAATATAAAATATTCTATCAGTTATTTAGCTAGAATAACTCCCGGCTTTAAGTTGTAAAGTATTCAACCATAAACGCGTGATGGATGTTTGTGGTTTAGTGTTCAATCAGTCATTGTCAAACTGGAGCTTAACGGTTTACATTTAAGCCATTGTTTAACACAGTTTCATATTCATTTTCCTCGTTTTCTAATTCTATCCTTATTAATAACAATGAAAAATTTACGACGATAACACTTAACCCTTTGCTTTATCCAGTTGCAGTTAAATGATAACCAGTCGATAAAAATGTATTATGTAATAACTATTCAAAATATACTCTTTCATTTTTTTACATGCTCATAATGATAAGT